CCCAGAAAGCCAGGATTTGCCTGCGCGCTGATGTTGTGTGTGTCCAGCACCAGTTTGCGTTTTTCTATGGGGTGCAGTTGTTCAGTAGTGGTTTGGGTTCAAACATGGTGTGTTGGTGTAGATGTTGTATGTGGTCCCTTGCGTCGGACTAATCTGTTGGAATCCTTCCGAGCAGGAATTGGGGTCTTTCTGTGTGTTAGTACAGTGCCTAGCACACGCGGCCTGGATCCTGACTAGGTCAGACAATATCAACAGGAACTACACTTGAGCTTAGCCCCCCCAGCCTTTTGCCACCACAGTGCTGTTAAATACAGGTCCCCTCCTTTGCCCTGCTATTCCATGCGCTCTCTCAGGGTTTGCCCCCACCACCCTTGCTTGCATTGGGCAGTGACCCACGCCAAGAGCTTGCCTATCGCTTTCAGAGCCGGGCAGGAATTTTTTGGACAAAATGGCTTTGCATCAGAAAATGCCAATTTGGCAACACCTAAAGTTTTTGCAGGAACAGGCCAGTTTCACCAGGAAAGATTTCTCAGGTCCAGGGGGGGATTTCTGGTGAGAGATGGAGTGAGCGAGACCCTCCCCCCAGAATAGCCAATCAGCTTGTGGTCAGGGCATTCTCCTGGGAGACCCCGGTTCAAGTCCCCGAGCTTTGTCCAGTTGGAGCTGTTCCACTTTGTAAGTGATTCAGTCTTCCTGGGGCCCCAGAGAGAGACTGACCCTGTAGCCCACTGGCTTTGGCACTCACCTGGGATGTGGGAAATCTCAAAGTTTTGCAGGATGGGAAAAACCATTTCCTGCCCAGCTCTAATCGATTTCAACGGGACGCCTCATTCGGGCGGTGGTCGATGACCAGTCGGGCAGTGTGAGAGAGATGAACCCGGACTAGGCTACACTTTCCCAGCCAGATTACAGGGATAGGACCCCAACGGAGCCTCTTTTCAGATGCAGGCTACAGCGGAGCCGTTAGGGGAGACAGGTGAAGATTGGGAGGGGCTGATTTAGACACAACATCTGCTGAAGGGCTGCTACCACCAGCCGGTTCTTGGTTCCCAGCGCTATGAGCAGCTGGTTCAGGGCTCCAAGTCCCACTATGGCAGCATCAGACCCACCTTTGCATTTGCTCAAGCAAACGGGTCATTTTCTAATCTGGAGACTGTGTTTTTGTTACAGGAAATAAGGCCAAAGCAAACCCTGGCTCCCTGGGGCCAAGCGGGCATGTTTGCCAGTGAGGGGCCCTCTCCTCAGACTCTTGGGGAGAGGTGGAGGGTCTGAAGCACCTTTAGGGTGGTTTGGTCCCGCTCCATTATACATTCAGGTGGTATTTGCTAAAGGAGCCATCAGCCCAGTGATCTGTGCATCCTAGAGGCAGCCAGCAGGCAGGGTCATCAGCAGGTGAGAGGAGCCGACAGCTCTTTACAGGCAGCCCTTGGGGGAGACCTGGCCGGGGTGTTGCTAAGAGACAGCAACCTTTGAAACTCACATCCTCTCACCAAACCCGCCATGTTCTCCTTTCAGGTACCTGATGGCCAGGGGGCTGCTGGATAAAAGTGAGAGGGGGCTGGGACGTTGCAGCTGGGCCCCTAAGGGAAGAGCTGCTAAAAGCAGGTTGATATGTGAAGTTAAATGTTCATATCACCAAGTTTCGGGGGGTGGGAGGGATTAGAGGAGAGGAGCTGTGTTCTCTAGTGGATAGAGCACTGGCCTGGGAGTCAGGAGACCTGCATTCTATTCCTGGCTCTGCCACTGGTCTGCTGGGTGACCTTGGGCAAGTCACTTTCACCTCTTTGTGCCTCAGTTTCCCCCCCATGCTGGGTCTTGCCCCATAGATGGATCTCTCTGTGGTAGGTTTTGCCTCTCACTGTGCATTTATACAGCACCTGGCACAAGGGGGCCTCACTCTCTCCACTTTCTAACTGATTCTGCTCTTTGCTTTCACTTCCCCCTCCCTGTCTAACACCTTCCAAAACCACAAGCAGAACATCACGTCCTGCGCCTGACGCTAGCCAAACCCCATTCCCCTACTAGAGCTGGGATGGGGAGAGAGAAACAATGGGAACCCCTCTGCAGCCAGGCCCCACCACTCAGGAGGACAGCCCCAAGGGGTGTCCATAAATTAATTACATACATTTTTTGGGTCATTTTCAAGACCTGCCCCCCCTTTGTGACACTGAAACAATCCCCCAAAGTTAAGCGCCTACCCACCCACCCACCCACCCCAATGCATTGCATAATTTATGGACAGCCCCTAATCCTGCTAGGTCCTGAGTGCCTTCCAACTGCTAAACTGCAGTGGGAGTTGAGGACACGTGGCAACCCCCCCCCAGGGGAACCCAGCACCTCACCAGATTGGACCCAAGAGATATAAAAGGTTTCCAGCTGCTTTGTTTCGCCTCCCGGGCATGGCTGAGCTGGCGATCCCAGCATGCAGTTCCCGGCCCCTGGAGGGGGCAGGACTTACACCAGAAGTCTTTGTATATGCAGCAAAAAAGAAAGAACCCCCTGGGCTCGCATTCGCTCTAATGCACAGTTGGCAGGGCTAGACACAGATCTCTGTCCTAACCCAGGCACTCCAATCCTTCCCATCACACACAGCGGGAGTGACTTTCTCCAGGGGCGCTCTCTCTCTCTCTCTCTCTCCCTCACACACTCACACAGCCCCTTTTCCTCTTGTCCGTCTGTTGACCTGGAAACAAACAGCAGCTTTAATCTGCCTCCGGAGGCTGAAGCATTTGCTCAGTTCAAGACCCGCCATCGCTTTGGTGATGCTGTTCGGTTCCATCTACACTCACGCTCTGCCGGTGTCACAGCCACACACCCTGTACCCCAGCCACGCTGCCACCGGTGCTCAGTGCAACCAAGTGCCACGCCGGGGGGCTGGCGAATTCATCTCAATGTTGGGATGTCAGAGCAAGCTGGTGCTCAGAAATCAGGGGACATAGGGCTCTGCAGGCCCATGGAGAAGCCCGGGTCAGAGACACAAACCTGCCCCTGCTGCAGTCTGAGCTAATGGGGAATGACTAATGGGCCCAGGATTCATCGAATGCCAAAGCAGCTGTGGCAGGAAGGGACAAAAGGAAAACCCTGGGCCTGATTCTGCTCTCACACCAGCGTGACTTCTCTGCCGGCAGTAGAGTTGCTCCTAATTTCCCCCGGCCTCAGGACCACTGACAGGTTGCGTTCAGAGCTGGGCTACATCCGAGCATGCGGGTCCCTCCCGAGCCACACAGGAGACAATCTGGTAGCTGAATTTACAGGGGGTGGAAGGGATGAAGGAGAGGAGCCCTCCCCCCGCTCTCGTTCAAGCCAACACCCTGGTAAGGTCTGGTCCTGAATCCGGTTTCCCAGGGAAAATCCTGCACCTCAAAAGGCGCCAATAAATGCACAAAGTGAATTTATCATGGACTCTGCCAGGGACCTGAGCTGGGGACACTAACCCGAGCAAAAGCAGGTGCTGAGCTCAGCGGCGTGGTCGCCGGCCCAGGCAGCGAATGGGGGGATGGAGAGATCTAATCCCACTAGGCGCTTACAGTTTAAAAAGGGGCCATTCAATCCAGCTAGCAAACCCGCATCCACCGGGGATTCAGTATCCGCAAACAAATGATGAGCCCAGCCCCACTCCTGCTGCCGCGTCTCCTGGTAAATAATGTTTAATGCCGATCCCACTGCGCCTGACCCACGCCCCTTCTGCCGGGGAACAGATGTGCCACATATCAATGCCCACACTTAGTTATTTCCATTTTAAGAATATGATGGAATCAGTGATGCCTAAAATGTACTCGTTAATGGCGCCACTTTGCAATTTCATTCTACTTTAATATAAACCATCTGCTCCAAGCCGGCAGCTGCACCAAAGCACATAGGATGAGGCCCCTCCCCCCCGTTTATCAATGGGATGGGGGCTACCCGTGGCAGAGGCCTGTGCGGTGGGGTTGAAGGCCCAGGGGTCTCTCCCCAGTGGCGGCAGCAGGAGGAGGTGTTACACATGCCGAGCGGCGCAGGGGAGGAGTGGTAGGAATTGTGGGTGCTGGCTGTTGTTACTGCCTTAGCCCGACTGCTTGGATTGGAGAGAGACGGAGCAGTCACTGCATTGCTGACTGTACATATGCTCACGCGCTAACTGCACCATGCTATGGAGGGAGACGGGAGCACCGGCCCATCCGTTAGAGCTGCGTTTAGGACAGTGGGGCGAGCTCTGCAGTGCCCCCAGTGAAGAGGGGAAGATGCTACCTGCCGCCAACCCCATGCCAGTGCCCTGGAGCGGCTCACTTGACAAAATGAACCTGGGGCACAGAGGTGAGGATGGGTCAGAGTGGACATCGCGGGCTCAGTGGGGAGGCAAAGAGAGGGGGTGGGAGCAGGTACAAGCAGATGACCCTGTGGGCTTCACCTTAGCACCAGGACAGGGGAACGTGCCCATAAAGTATCCGGCAAACTCAGCACACAACACGGTCAGGAAAAGGGACCCCTAAACCCCGCTGAGCTCTCGGCTCTGGGACTGCACCTGAAAAGGATGCACGAGCAGCTGCATCCAGCCAAACCAGACAGACAGATAACTCCAAAGCAACAAGCGAGTTCAGCCAAGAACTCCCACGATAGACAACTCGGCTGTGCACATTCTAGATCCCCACAGGCTGGGGCGCGGACCAGTGGCAGCAGGAGCTTCCTCGGGAATCACTGACCCTTGGACAGCCTCAACGGACTTTCCCCAACGCCCCCAAAACCCCCTCGACCCTCCGCGGGCATAAATCAGCAGACGTAGATTACCCCAGCCAAGGATCGGGCCCACGGGATGAAACTCACAAGGCCTGCCTCTCCCTTAAGTCCTATTTTGAAGGCCTAAGTGGAGCGTCTGTGGTGGCGCATACATCACGGGGGTGTCATACAGGGGGCGGGTGCCAGGGTCTCCACTCATTAACGAACAAGGAGGAGGTGGCTGTGAGTCACTGAGGCCCTGGTGCACTGTCAGTCCATCCATCCATCACTGCCAAAATAAATACGAGTTTAGAGCAAAACCCAGTAGAAAATAAAGTGCCTCTGGAGTTGAAAAAACGTCCGGAAAAAGGATTTTTTTTTCATTTTTACAAAAAATATCCTTTAAAAAAAATAGGGAGAAAGAGAGACGGAGGCAGCCCAGTGCGGGGACTACAGGGATGTCCCGTTGGGGAGGGGGATCTTCACGCCACTCTGCAGCAGGGCCAGGCAGACGCACAGCCCCAGGACGCCGGCCAGGAGAACGCCCACCAGGGCCTTGAGGAAGGAAGTCCTGCTGCGGGTGAAGGTGCTGGGCCCCAGGACGCCCAGCAGGGCAGTGCTCACAGTCAGGGTGTACAGGATGGAGACGCCCGTGTTGAGGGCCACGATCTTCCCGAATTTGGCAAAGGGGGCGATGATGCAGAAGAAGAGCGGGACGGTGGCGATCACCGTGGTGACAGCGCTGGAGACGATGGCCACGCCCACGTGCCGGACGGCTTCGATCGTCCTCCACTGGCGGCAGGAGGTGGGGTCCTGGCAGGGCAGATGGCGGCATTAATGGGCAGCGGGTGCTTGCACCCAGAAGGCACGGGAGGGCTGGGGCCTCGTCTACATGGGGTCTTTAGTTAGGGAGACCAGATGTCCCGATTTCATAGGGACAGTCCCGATTTTTGGGTCTTTTTCTTATATAGGCTCCTATTACCCCCCACCCCCATCCCGATTTTTCACATTTGCTGCCTGGTCACCCTATTTTTAGCCCCCGGCGCAGCTGCAAGCAGTGCAGTGCGAGCCCCTCGTGCGGAGGTGCTCTCAGAGTAAGTGGTACCCGTGCAGCCCCCGTACAGATCGCACGGGACTGGTGCGAGTCCGATGCTGACAGCCTGCACCCGGGGTTACAATCCCAGCAAAGCCAAGACCTGTAAAGCAGCGTCTGGTCTCCGCTACCCCAGTGTCAATGTGGAGGGACTCCCCTGAAGCCAGCGGAGTTACTCCAGTTTGAGGGATGTAACTCTGACCCTTGCATTGTAGATTCCCCAATGCCTGGAATGGGGACAGTGTGCACGGGGCCAAAGATGCAGTAGAGGCACCTCCTGGCCCTTCAGCTGTCCTGCCCGAAGGAGCATGGCCAAGCGCAGCGAGGCACAGCATTCAGGGGGTGTCTACATTGCAATACAAGACCCACAGCAGCGAGCCTCAGAGCCCTGGCCAACTGCCTCGCGCTCGCAGGGCTAAAACCAGCAGCGTAGAGACCTTCCCCCTTCCCTGGGCTTCAGCCCGAACCCGAACAGCTCGGCTGCTATTCTAGCCCCGCAGCCTGAGCCAGTCGTCCTGGCCTCGGAGCCTTGGTGCTGCAGTGTTTTGGCTGCACGATAGACGTACCCGTAGCGGGAGGGGAAGAGACGGGTGCCCCTGGACTCCAGTGACCACCCCAGCGCGGGGACTGTCTTCATAAGGGCAAAGTACTAGGGAGGGGCCAGTCACGGGGACACAGGCCCCGGCTCAGAACCATCACTCTGCCAGCCGCAGCTCAGCGGAGTCCTGTGTCAAAGCCCGGGGGTGCAGCCTGGGCCCCAGGGAGCTCCTCTGGGGCTGATGGGGGAAAGGAATCCCCCCAAGGAGGATGTAGCCGCGTTGCTGCTTGCCCCCTGCCGTGGCCCGGCGTTCCCAGGGCCCT